CCCCAAAACCCCAAAACCCCAAAACCCCAAAACCCCTCAGAGTATTAAAATTATAGAATATAATCTGAATAAACTAGGAATGGAATTGTTGCAAGAAAGGCCTCAGAAGCCGAGAACAGCAGCCACTACTGCAAGGAAGAGACGCTTCAGAAGGACTAGCTTACCTTCCTTCCAGAATAACTCTTTAAAACATACCAGGAAGATCGGGACAAGTAGTACACAGAATCTTGAATCCTTTGGCCCATCAAAACCTGGACCTGAGAATTATTCAAAGCTCATAAGTAACGAAATATTCAACATACAGGGGAGTTCAGGGAGTAAAGCTATAATGGCGACTACTTCTCCTTGTTCACTGCTAAAATAAGCTTAGATCAAAATCGAAAGAAAGAGTTAGTGAGGAAAAGAACATCAGGCTTAACATAAAATTTCCTATGACTAACATGGATCTTGTTGAAGAAAACAAGCCGTTGGAGACCAAACCAAGATCTCAGACAGGGTATAAGACCTACAGAAGCACTAAGCCCTCTTTTAGTATTTTGAGTGGAGCTGATACGACTTCCATAATTCAGGACAAAGAGAAGACGATCCTAAACCTTAGGAAAAAGTTAGTAAGTAATTTCTCTAAATATATAGACCTACATGCAAGGGAATCAGCCAATTCAAAAATCAGGAATGATGGCTGAAGAGAATAAAACAAATTTATTCTACCATACCGATAAGGAACTGGCCGACTTGAGAAAACTGCTTGTCCGGCAGACCATAGAGAACCAAAAACTTAACGATTTGTTAAAATAAAAGGTGTGCTAAGGTTAAGGAGATGATCTCTATCTACAATATCCAGATTTTGGATAAGGACAATATCGTTCTTAAGCCAAAGAATGTGAATGAGCTGAACTACCTTATTCATGAACTTACTGAGACATTAATGAAAAGATCTGAGGATGAAATTAGTCTCGGGCTGAAAACCAGAGATCTTGAATACTCCCAACATGAAACAAAAATGGTGAAAGGAGAGCTCAAAGCTCTCCAAAGAAAGTTTCATATTCTCAAACAAGAAATTAAATTTTCTAAAAATAAAATAAGTGATATGAAGTGGGTTCATAAGGACAATCTCAGAGACCTTGTCTCTGCAAAGAAAGAGAATCATGAAATGGGTGTTAAAATACAAGGGCTCACTGAAGGTCTCCACAGCATTGAAGATTACCAGTTAGAAGACGGAAAAGTGAACAATAAAATGATTCATGTTCTTTTAAAAGAAAACAGAATACTTAGGAAGCAGCTGCATCAAGTTGAACTGTCAGATCAGAGTCCCTAGAAAAGTGGCTGCCTAATAATTCTTGTATAGATTTCTGTACTTCTGCATAATTAGTGTCAACTATTTTTATGTGCATGTTTGCCACTCTTTGCATCCCTTCAATAGTCCATATATTCAATTTAGTTACTGCTAGGACGCCTTCAATGAACATCAGTTCATTTTTGATTTTGGCTTCAAGTTCTTTATCTTTTGGGGAATTTTTCTGAAGCAGAATGAACGAACTTTGCATAAATGGGGCTATAGACAAAACCATGCATACAGTGGTCCTCAAAATAACAGCTGTGTGCTGGATTAACCCGAGGTGATAGTTCACCAGCACACCCCAAATCATACTGAGATTTCCAAGAAGTTCATAAATGATTAGGATCTTTAAGGAAAAATATAAAAGGGAGCAATTCCTCAGAGTTTTATCACTTTTAAAAACATTGTGATCACCTCCTTCAGCTTCTGTCAATTTTCTCTCATATTTAGGGAAATTTTTCTCAAGAATGTCTTCAATTTTCCTGACCAGACTGACCTCTCTAAGGGTCCAGAAGACAAGGATCAGCAGGAGTGCGATTCTGACTGCAAAAATTCTAGTTCCAAAGTAGACATAAGTCTCATCAAAATGATGTGTTTCTCCTTCTTCGTGATGTTCATGAATACCATGAGCGAAGTCTTTGAGTAATTCCAAAAATTCAAAAATGATATAAACTGAGTTCACAAAAGTGGCGATCACTGTCAGCCTAGTGTACCCATAGTTGAACTCCTTATCTCTTCTAAAGTCCTTCGAGTACTTGATGGAGTAGTAACTGAACAGGATCACTGATGTAAAGGCAGCACTGTTCATACCGTCCCTGACAAGCAAGAAGGCATCAGTATATGAACCCACGAAGAAGTTGAAGAGACTGATCGCCCCAAGGGCGATAGCCACTGCTAAAATGTGGATAGAATCAGTGAAGTATTTCTTGGTCTTGGTCGTGAAACTTTCCTCTATGAAGACTCCTGAGGGAGCGTTAAAGCCAATATCACTACTGTTGATAAAGGTGCGACTCTTCTCTTTTGTTGTCTTGATAAGCTTGGATTCCTAGAAAATCATAGTAGGATGAGATATGAGCAAGGAGGTACTATTGCTGAGATTCTTTAAATGATAGAGCAAACTAAAGAGAGTAATGAGTTCGACGGGGGCTTACTTCTTTGATATCCTGCATTTTCTCGAAATTTACCCAATTATTTATTAAAAACGGGGTTTTGGGGTTTTGGGGTTTTGGGGTTTTGGGG